GCTTTAGTGTCTCACGAGGTTTTTATAATGAGGAGATACCCGGTTAAAACTTATATTGGGAACCAGTCAGCACTAAGGTTTCCTGGAAAACAGCTCTCCCGGTCCTGCCACTGACGGGGCGCAGGCGGGTGTCTCAGGGTGTGAGGCCAGGCCCAGCCTCCAGGCTGCCTCACGGCCTTGCCAGGGAGGTTTGGTGTCCCCAGCCGCACCACATGAGCCTCGGGGAAGCTGAAACGCCTGCCAAGCTGGATATCCAGGAATATCTTCAGAAGAGTGAAACGCAAATGCACATTCAAAGAGCTACTGCTCAGGCCTGCAGCGTGGTGGGCTACTCCAGGCTGGCCAGAAGGCCTGGATGAGTTTTTTATTGTGAGGGTGGTGAGGCACTGACACAGGTTGCCCAGAGAAGCTGTAGGTGCCCTGGAGGTGTTCAAGGCCAGGCTGGATGAGGCTTTGAGCAACCTGGGCTAGTGGAGGGTGTCCCTGCCCATGGCAGGGGGGTTGGAACTAGATCTTTAAGGTCCCTTCCACCCTAAACCATTCTATGATATTAGTGTAAAAGGTGCACAGTAACAAACATGCCCTTTGAAAACAGGGCAAATGTTCCTTATTAATCTTAAATGCTTTTAGGAATGTTTTTCTGAAGTCATTTACTCATTATGCAGTTCCCTGTTACGCCTTATGGAGGAAGCCCTCTCAGATGCAGTTTGTTTAAAGCCATTTAGGTATCTAATTGCCATCTTAAATTAGTTCAGTGGTAGAGTACCTGTATACATTTTAGAAAATTGGGTAGTGCTCTGGTTTTTAATTGGATCTTTAATGGATCCCTGTGCCTTAAAAATTTAATCTCTTTAGTGGGCAGGCAATATTTGCCATCTTTTCTTTTTCCAAGCTTTTCAGAAGGTGTCAGCTGAGATTTTACTGCAGAGCCATTAAACACTGGAAAGAAATGACAGAAAGTGGTGGCCAGGAACAGTCAAGATGGGTAACAACAGTTATTATGAGTACAGCTCTGCAGGTACGATACCACTTGTCAAGAGCAGCACCTGACTCACTAACAAACACTGGAAGAAGTATTTGCTATATTCTGTACTTGGAAATATTTTATGCAATGTCAATGAACATAGTTTTTTGAAGATAAAACAGTGACATTAGTCTGAAGTTGTTTCTAATGTGGTAATGCTTCTTTGTGTGTGTGTGTGTTGTTTTTTCTCCTAGCTATTTCTGTACCTATTTATTATTCTTTCCTCCTGCTGTTCTGAGTTACACTGCTTCAGGATTGTTCTCCTGACTCGTCATTTTTGCACTGATGCTGCTTTCAACTAGCACCATGAATAATTCCATTAGAAATGTTTTTAATGTTCTTAATTTATCCCTAAAGCCTTTTTTTTCTACTATACAGTATCAACATTGGGGTAGATTATTACTCAGTAAGTGTGCAATTCATTTGAATATAGTCTTACAGATATTTATGTATTTTTATGTCCTTTAATATCAGAAGCCTGGACTGTGTTCCTCAGTAAAGTTAAAGGGTATGTCAAGGAGCTGGTAATTAGTTCCTGCAGCTGAGACCAATTTCATGCCAGCTGGAGAGAATTTAGAGGAGCTTTGATTCACGAGCAGGGATATTTTGATTCACAAGAAGGGATATCTTATGCTAGCTTGGCTGACAAGGTTATTACCTAATCGCTGCTGTGTAAGCGGGCAAATGGTGTTGAAGTAATTCTTGAATCACCTCAGTTTAAAGCCTGTTCTTATTTGCCTGCTTGTCTTGGAATGACAGCCTGTAAACTCTTCCAGTTTGGGAACTGCTTCAAGGGCAACTTAATCCATAACACAGTGAGAGGTGTCAGAAGGCAGTGATCTCACCAGCTATACCAGCATAACTCACTCTTATTTAATAAGAACCCCAGCTCTGCACAAAACTACTGCTGTTGGTAAGGAATCCCAATAAGCAGAGATATGGAAATAGCTGAATACAAATGTAAGGTGGCTTTTCTTTTCCAAAGGTGTTGCTTTGTATCAGTTTGGTTACGACCTTTCCCTTTTTTTTTTTTTCCTTGTGCAGCTATCCTTTTCTTATAGCTGTTATTTATAGTTGTGCATTAGATAATTCACTGTCAGCAGTGGTTTTGAAGCAGAGTTTTTCCAAAATTGTAGTTATACCTCATAAGCAGCTGTGACTGAGTGTTCCCTTTCCAGGCCAATTGAATGCATAACATTTCTGGTTACTGTCTCCTTCAGGGTTCAGTTACTATCCTGACTTTATTTTGTACTCTTCCACTAAATCATGACACTTCTCTATATAGGCAGGTTGGCTATATTTTAAATGGGTAGGTTAAAGAGAATAGTATTAGCTAAAAAGGATTCAGTGATTCAATCTTTGAAATGTGTGTTTGAGTGGGTTCTGTAGAACATACTGCAGAAATGCTTTTTGCAGGCTGAAAAATATATCCAAACCCACTCCATTCTGTAGATGATTGTGTTGCATAGTGACATATTCTAGTTTTCCTGAGTGGATTGAATTCTGTCAAAAAGCTTTAAAGAAAATAATGTCCTATACAGATTTCAAATATCTTCCAAATGAAATGCTGACATGTGTGAAAATAATGCAGTCTAATTAACCAGAGTAATAGAAACACACTACTGTATGTTCCTCACTTCTGCAAATCCTCTGTATGTTCCTCACTTCTGCAAATCCTCTTTTAGCATATCTCACAAAAATAGACTATAAAATGTTTGAGCTTCTTTATGTATTATGCAAGAGTTTCCTGTAGCAAAAAGAATGTATGCATACAAAATTGACATTCAGTATTTGATAACTTCCAATACAAATACTTCAACATTTCCTTAATTGAAAAAGTTTAACATTTTACTGCTATTGTTATTGCAAGTGGAATAGAAAAAAATTTTAAACAGCAATGCTAAAATTCAGTCTACAATGGTTCAGACAATGCTTTAAGAAGATTTCTATCTAACTTTTTGTCTGAGAACATATTTTAAAAATAACCTTTTAAAATTTATTTAGAATCATGAAATTTCTACAGTTCTACAGAGGCAACAACACCGAGTTCGATATTCAGAATCAGTGGAAATTGGATCTGTGATTTTTTCCCGTTCTGGTACGGTACTTTGAAGTTTATGTTAAACTCATAAGCTCTAATGAGGTACAAGATCTGGCCCCATTGTAGGCTGCACTAAGCTGAATAAAGCTGCTGTGCTGGAGGGTCATGCAGCAGTGGAAGGAGCTGTACTGTGATTGCACATAAATCAGAGGATGGAGCAGAGAACTTTGAGGATGAAACATTTTGATTGGTTTTTACTTTTTTTGGATGTATTGTAGGACAGCTACATCAGATTTTGTGATTATCAGCTGAACTGTTTAGAAATTATTCTTATAACTGAGCAAACACCTTGCGTGCCACTAACGTGTAAGACAGCCATCAAGGTTTTTACTATTCATTGATGTAAACACAAGAGTGATCCAATACACTTGGCTTTCAACTTCCAAGTGGAGTTTGCAGACCTGGTGGTAGCAGAGGAGACAGGGAATGGATTCTTTGAGCAGATTTGTTTAGGAAATAACTGAAACTGCAAATATGAAATATATATCCTTCCTTTTTAGAGCAGAAGATGCTTTAGACAGGTAGACAAGATCCTTAAACTGAAACTTTCCTGAACTATAAGGATTAAGGCACACACTGGCCTAGCCTTTCAGCCTTCTTAACTTTCCCTTTCAGAATAACTTAGTTGATGGGGTTATAATTTCATTTTTCATGGTGAACTGTTTAGCTTACTTTTAAGAAGTTACAAGTGTGTTTATCTCATTTAGAAATGGGACTTGCTGAGCTCTTCAGTCAGTCTTTGCATTTGCCCTAAATTCATTCCATTATAGCAGTTGCTTGTTTGTGAAGCATGTGCTTTCAAAGGCATTCAGATGTCTGTATTCTGAGTGGTTTGAACAGTTGGGGTTTTTTGATGTTATGGTTAAAAATAACTTCTACATTATTTGTGGTTTTATCTTAAATTACAAGTCATCACTTGGCAAATCTCATTATTGCATTTCACCATCAACAGGTATAAATTAATTCATGTGTTTTGTTCCACCACCTTTTAAACTAATGGTTAATAAAAATTCGGCTTCCTGGTTTGTGGTGAGAACACATGTTACTGCCATGATGCGCACATTTATGTCAATTTCTTCAATAGGTGTTGCATTTATGCTGGAAGACACTCAAGACTTGCTTACAACAGGGGAAGAACAGGAAGAACAGTTTTTCACAAGAATTCAGAAATTCATAAACATTCATCGGAACAGTTTTTTGGTTTTGTCAGCTGCTCTTCATGGACCAGAAGAATGGAATGCCATGTTTAGGATTCAGAGAAGGTATGATTTCAACATCAAATCAAACTTTTTATTGCTAGGAAGAAATATAAAGTATCAGTCCTAGATTTGGGAATATTATTTTGGGAATTCTTTTCAGGAGCATGAATTTTATTTTGCTAATGCTCTGGAAAATTATTTAAAGCATATGTTTATTAATGGCAAATGAAAAAAATACTAAGTGAATTAATCTGACATGTCATAGGTAACAGAAGGTGATGTTCCTCAAAACATAGCAAATAACATCCCTTTCAATCACTTTAGGCCTTTGCAATATAATAATTTTTAAAGTTTTCTCTTGAACTGAAAAATCAGGCAATTTTGTTAGCTCTCTTAGCATCTTTTCATGATCATTTTCAAAACAAAACAGGCAAGTTTCCTTGCTGAGAAGAGGCTTTATTGTAAAGTACAGATTCTTTACCAGCTTTTAAAATCTGTATCTATTATACAGAGCTAGCACAATTGAAATAATCAGTTATTTTACACCAAAAGTATAAAACTGAACATTAAAACTGGCTTGCTTAAAACTTGGTGATTTCTAATGAAGCTTGAAAACTTGCGTGTTTGAGTACATACCTGCTGACAACAGTTGTCAGATTGTACTCAATACTTGTAGTCAAAACTATTTTCTGGTAGGTACAGTAGTCCCACCTGCAGTTGATTTTCACTCGACATCAAAGAAGTGACTGTTCCAATGCAGTCTTTGTTCTTTACCTTCTTGAAATTAGCACCAGTTTCATTAAATCCTGGGCACCCTGCCAAATGCTGATGAGTAGCAGAGTGTATGGGATAAAATATAGGAAATCTGTTACCCATTTGTGAAAATTCAATAAATTTTCATGAGACATCTTAAAAGCTCTGCCACTATTCAGCAAGAACATGTTATATATGCTAATTCTCAATCTACTTTGTGATTATGTACAACAGATTTTATGCATGTGTTGATAAGTAACAAACATGATGTTTTGAAACTATACTCCATTGGATAATTCATTAATTTTCTTAAAATAAAAATAATAGTTTTGCCATTGCAGGCCATACCAAATTGATGTTGACAAGGCACAATTATATTTTGGGTGCGTGTACTTTTTCCTACCTGGCAGCTTGGAGTTCTGCTATTGTATGTAAATCACTGAGCTTTTGCATTGGTGGGTTTGAAACTTGTGCCATATTCTCTCTAACTACCAATCACCTGATAGATTTAAAAGAAAAAATAAATGTTCTCTGGTATTTTCAGGTCTTCCTGTATTACTGTTTCTTTCTGCTTATCTATGGTTTTGTGACAATTGGGAAGGGACTATTATTATTACCAAGAACCTTATAGGATTGTCATTCAACACCATAAAAACTTTAAGTAGTATTGTGTATATCATGGTGGGGGAGAAAAGCAATCTTCATCATCACAGCTCAGTGGAGTGTTCCACTAATATCCTCAGTAAATCCAGATGTTAATTTTTAAACACCTCAGAGCAAAGACCAGACATGTTCTGATGGCCAGTAGTCTGCCCATTGATCAAATTAATTAAATACAAACTAAATTTAGACCTGCTGTAACGGGAGGCAAAACTATTGATAGACCTGGGTTTTCATGGATCTAGGAAAGTACATGTAATTGCCTCTTTGTTGCACTTCATTCATTCACGCTTTGCTTAGCCCATTGCTAGTATTAGCAAAGTTGCATCTATTTATTTCCCTAATCCCTAACTGTAAATCAAACTACAGTTTCTGCATCAGATTTTAGCAAAACTCAACGGTGACTTGAGTACCTACTCCTAGGGAAGGACACTACCTATAATATTTATCTTTGCTAATTAGAAGACCAAGCAGCCAAGTTCAGATCAGATACCTAACCAGCATGGGTCTGAATGTGAATGAGTCCAAGTCATCAAACAGCCTGAGGGGAAGAACAGGTGGTATCACAGGGGGAGGTCACAGGGGAGTACACAATTGAGCAGCTGGGCACCTTCTTTGGATTAAATTTTTGATTAGTTAAAATTCCGCATTCTTTATTGTTAAGTCCCTATCATATTTTATTTTTACACCAGAAAACGGCAGCAATGCCAACTTTGTTGTCATTGTTACAACACACTTAAGATACAAGTCTTAAGGAGAAGCTCTGTGCTTGCCTAAGCTTTGATCTCTCTCTCTTCCATGACTGCACTGAATGACACCTGATGCCAGTATTTTAAATCTTCAGATTCCATTCTCAAGAATGAATGCATATGAATAACATTATTTATAGAAAGATAATTAATTTTAGGTTAAATTATTTGAATGAACAAGTCTTTACATTAAATTCTTAACAGAATTATCCCTGTATCTTAATTGCATCTGATGTATTGCTATATTTAGGTAGTACACTACAGAGATTTAGTTCAAATTCGAAAGTATCTTAAGCAGTGGTTTTACGTACTTTCCTGTGTTCTTCCAAAGCCATAAAAAAGCCTTCAGCAATATAGCAGAAGAGGGTGCTCTCTAAATGTGCACGTAGTTAAGAAGCATTGATTGAGTGATTGTCAATGAGCCCTTCCAAATCCCACTTAAACAAGTGGTACAGACATGGGACAGGTGGCTATACAAACAGCATGAACTCTCCAATTGCCTTTAAAGCTAAAAGCAATCTTCTGTGTACTTGTGATGAAGGCACAGTAAGAAGTTGTTTACATCATATGGGGATGCTTTTGGGGTCTTATGGCATAACAAAAGTGCATTCAAAAATTAACCTTAACCTTAATTTATTTTGTGCAGATTCCTGGGCAGTAATTTACGTATAATACCAGTTCATAATACTGCTGAAGCTGTTAAGTTAATGCTAACTATAGCTAAGGTAAGTGTGGTTGCATATACTTAAAACTACTAGCTCCTTAGAACTTCAGAAGCAGATTAGCCAGGAAAAGCCAAGAACTACACAATACTTAACTTTTCCTTAATGGAACTTTTTGGGTCACATTGACCACAATCCATGTAATACATAAGGTAGGACTGTTACTCTGATGCTTTAGCTGAGTCTTTAAACCATTGTTAGAGGCAATTTTAGAAGCTCTTAATAGCATCTATAAAGACAAAATAGATATTTAAGAGCTAATTAAGCTCTTACCACTGTTAAGTTAGGATGTCTTCACTTCATTTACTAGTGCAGAACCAGCATGAGACCTAAATATGTAATGACTTCAACATAAAGTAAAAATGCCTATCTGAAAACTCCAGTTACTTGTGGATTTTTAATGATGCACATACTAGTTTATTATTTCTATAGCTTAATGAGTGTAATTTATCTGTGTATCTGCAACATATCCTGTATGCATCAACACATTATTAAATCTATTTACTGAACCTCTTTAAAGAACATTTTTCCATGAAAATTTTAACTGAGATACTAACTATAACGATACTAGCAGCATCCCATGTACCAAAAATAAAAAGAGCAGGTTGAATAACACATTAGGAATCAAATACGAATTTATATTTTATCCTTTCCTGAAGTGGGCATCTCAAAATAGTGAGCATTAACCTATTCAGAATACTCATTTTAAAAGTGTGTAAGCTACATCTCACTTATTATGTGGCAAAAGTTGTTAAATACTTGGTACAATGTCGAACATTGTACTTAAACTCTTTATGGAATCTGCTGATATCTGGCCTGGTCAGATACAGCATTTACCTAAAAGCTTTTAAGATTACTGCTGATCCTATAAATTTGAATTTGCTTTTCTACTTGTTCAGACTGTGTATACATTCAACATGATTGCCTTATAAGAAGTGATGATAGTATATGCCACCAATCTAGTGGTTGCAATTTCTTTATTTCTTACTGATGCACAGAATCACACAGAATCACAGAATGTT